AAATAAAAATTCGGACTGAGAGAGAACAATCCTTTTGGCATCTCAATAGCTCCGATGTCGTCTTCATTACTTTACCAAGGATCAAAATTACGAGAGCCTTGGCTCCGATGTCCGTCGATAAAAAAAAAATGAATCAAATGTCATCTCAATCCTGGAACAAAATCGAATAAAATCACGAATTTTATCAGGAAAACATATTTAATTGAGTATTAAGTAAACATAACCGGAAAAATAATTGTAAAGATGTATGCCAGCTCTGGTATCGTCTTTGTTATACGATTGAGGCTCGAAATTATGAGGTCCATCTCCAAGAGACATCATATAATTTCAGAAAGTAACAAAAATTTGAAATCAAATCAAATTAAATCCGAAAAAAGTAATCCATCGCGCCTCGAATTTGTGTAGATCTATTCTACAGTAAAATCTGCACACAAAATCTTTAATCTAAATTCCTATCGACTTCTATTAAGTATTCAAGGAAAAATTGTCTCTGGGCACATAATAGCATCGAAAGAAAATCTTGAAGCAATTTTAAAAAAACAATGGAAGAATATAACAAAAGACCTGAATCCTTTATTACGGTGCACTATACCAAAAAGAATAATTGCATTAGCAAAATTAACAGTAGTCACATAAAAAGCGATAACATAAAAGAATTTTGCATTTATTATTCAAGGATACTGTCTTGTTTCATTTAAGTTATCCAACTACTTGCGACAACTTAAAAAAAAAATGGAGATATGGGGATTTTTTTGTGTTTTTTAGATTTGTTTAGTACATTTTAATAAAATTATGCTAAAATTGAGAAGAGAAAAAGAAATTATTATTACTAAAATGGGAAAAAATTGGTAAAATTTACAAAAATAACATAAACGCGGTCCATTCTGTACCAAAAGTTTATGAACAAATGTTCAATTTTTCTATTGGATGTGTTGCTATGTTATTCGTTTTTTAAATGACCTGCAGGATAAGAGATATTTTAATTTTTACAAAAAATTGGAGCACTTTATCTTAGTGATTATATGAAATTACTTAAAAAAAAACAGTGATTATATTTACATAAGGGATTGTAAGTTTTGTAATAAAAGAGTGATTGATAAGTCTGAAGGTTAAAACACTTCTACTATTATATAGAACATAAACACAAAATTTCATTCAATTATTTTCATAAATTTTTTAGTAATCGCTGGCCCCGTTTGAGCATGTTCAAAAAAATACATTTCGAGTAAAACGCGTTTTAAAGAGAGTATGACATCTTCCTTAAAGTAATGGCATCTGCTTTTACTAAAACACTTGTAGTTTTTTTTAGTGAACTTTTTACAAAGCAAGATGGTCTATAAAATAAAATAATAAAATAATTGTCAATTTTTGTCAAAATTCACAATTTTAGGGTGGTCGAATACTTTAAATAATCATAATAAAGTAATATCGGTATTCAGAGTTTTGGGATCCGCAGTATATTTATATGCACATTGTAACTAATCTGCTAACAGCAAGGAATTTAGGTTATACGATGGAAGAGGTTTCTGTATTTATTAAAGAAATGATAAATATAAACGGCAGATATGATAAGGAAAATAAGTCTTTAAACTACATTCCAGAAGGTAAGGTAACACGTTTAAGATTCCCCTCTAGAAAACGTTGAATGTATTATTTCTGCAAGAGAAATCGGCTTTATATATATATATATATATTTCTAAATAAATCCCTTTTTTTCTCACCGACGTGAAACAAAACATTCTTTCTGCACCTTGTCTCCATACATGGCTGTTTCTTCATGGAAAGCTGATGCATAAATCTCTCAGTTTCATGGACGCGAAGAACATTGTGCTATTCGCAGAAGGGTATCAAATGAATAAAAATCAAAATCTCCCAAGCTTGAGAAAAAGTATTTTCTCAACCAGAGAGAAGAAGAGATAAGGATAATCTGAAGGGAAAAAATAAATCTTAGAAAAAAATTCCAACCTGTGAAATATGTCAGTAAAATGTATGAAGGGTAGAAAATTTGACAATTTTTTCCCTTTTTCCATTTTTACTGCTCCTTGAAGAGAAGAAATAAATGATAAAATCCCGTCACATCCCAAGTTTTGGGGATTTTTCAGATTTTCCTTCTTCCTTCTATGTAATGACGTAGACATATCTGGCATAAGTTTACGAAATCCAAGACTTCAATTTCGTGTGAATTTTATATTGAAGAACATGAGCCACGAGGAATCAAAATTGTTCGTCAATCCTGTTTGAGTTTTGGGGAGAAGATTTTTTCTTCCAGCTTTACTTTTTTACGAATACAAGAGCGTAAAAATTGACTGTCAGAACATATTTACTTAAATTCTGTTCTATCTTCATTGGGAACTTTCTAGTTTGAGAAGGATTTACAGTCAGAAGCCAAATGTTTGGAGAATTACAAAATTATTGTTGAATTGTTTTTCAAACTGTTCCTTTTCTCTCTTAAATTTTAGAGACTTTAAAAGCATCATATTCTTTAAAGATATATATATATATATATATATAATGAACATAGATTTGATTGAGTCCAACGATAATTTTAAATAAAATACTTTGAGATTTTTTTAACGTACAAAACATCTTTGGAGTTGCAACTTTTCGAATAGATTTATTTTTATGCAGTCATCAGAATTCTCTAGATATATTGAGTAGTGCTTATTTGCATTATATTTAAACGTATTATTTTCTGAGTGTAAAGATTATGACCAGACCTGATGAACCCAAATGGTTTCACGGGCCTCTTTCATGATGCGTTAAGTTACATCGGGCCTTACATTAGGCAAACACTTTTCCAAAAATGTAACACAAATGCAAAACAAGTAATATATAAAAAAAACTTAAGTCAATTCTTACTTAGATCCACAAAAAAAGTTTATTTTAGTTACTTTTTATTAAATAGTTACAATTAATGTAAATATGTATATACATATGTCACAATCACAACATGAAGTGGCAATTAGTTTTTATTAATTATCATCAAACTGTCCTTTGTTATCCAAAACAATCGTGTACATAAAATTTCAGCTCAATTGAGTACTTCAAAATGCATTTTATTAACGATTGAAAATTTGAATAAGATAAATATGTATATAAATATAGAGATAGTGTGAACTAATAGTAGGAATTGAATGAAAATTTTTTTATTATAAAACAACAATTCAATGTAATTAATTCTCAAAATTTAATTATTGAGGCATTTTTTCAATTCCTACTATTAGTTTACTTTCTCTCCCTATATATATATATATATATGTGTGTGTGTGTGTGTGTGTGTGTTTATACTGAACTCAGTGGCACAAGTGCCAAGACTTACTGTGCCTATTTCAGTATATGTGACCTTAGACGCTGGGGTACAAGTGCAGATGCTTCAATCAAATGATTAGTCTCACATGAAACCCCCAGTGTTCAGTTCCCATATGGGACATTTATCGACCCACTGAAGGGATGGATTAAAGGTTGAGTCGACTTTGCCGAGCTCGTAATTTGAATCCTGGAGCTGTGGCATGTAAGCGCGAGGCCTACCACCTAGCCACCAGGCTTCATATATATATACACTCAAGAGCCAAAACATTATGACCACCTGTCAATAAAGAGTTGGCTTACATTTGGCTCGCGACACAGCTTCAACCCGCCTTGGCATGGATGCCACAAGTCCTTGGTAGATGGCCGAGACAGATTGTACCAGATGTTTAAGCAACGGTCATGCAAATCCGAGATATTGCGAATTGGTGGTCTTTGAACTCTGAGCTGCCGCCCCATGACATCCCAAATGTGTTTTATCGGATTGAGATCCGGTGAGTTAGGCGGCCAGGACATTAACTGGAATTCAGCATCATGTTCTTCAAACCACTCCAACACAATTTCAGCCTTGTGACACGGGGCGTTGTCCTGTTGGAACATTCCATATCCAGCTGGAAAAACAGAGGTCATGTAAGGATGCAACTGGTCCGCAATGATGTTCAGATACCCTGCAGCATTCATGGTCTGCTCTACCACAACCACGGGTCCCAGAGACGCTCAAGAGAACGTCCCCCAAAGCATAATACCGCTACCACTGGCCTATGTATAACCTACTGTACATTGAGGGAGCAACTGTTCGCCTGGAAGACGGCATATCCTGACACGGCCATCGGCGTGATGAATGACAAACCGTGATTCATCTGACCAGGCAACTCTCTCCCACTGATCCATGGACCAGTTTCGATGTTCCCGGGACCAGCGCAGGCGCAGTTGGCGATGACGCTTGGTCAGCAAAGGCACACGAGTGGGACGTTTGCTGTGTAGCCTCATATCCAACAGTGTCCGCTGACGAGTGTGCTCCGATACTATTCTACTTGGCCCTGCATTGTATTGGTCTGTCAGCTGAGCCACTGTCTGGCTCCGGTTTTGCTTCACCATGCGAGACAGTCTCCGACGACCTTTTTCTTTGATAACGTGTGGACATCCAACATCATGTCGTCTACTGCTGGTTTCACCGTCATTCATCCACTTTGCATAAGTACTAACAACTGTAGATCGTGAACAACCCACGAGTCGTGCAGTTTCGGAAATACTTGTTCCGAGCCTTCGAGCCATTACAATCTGCCCTCTATCAAAGTCGCTTAGATCCGCAGCCTTTCCCATCACACACAAAAGTAAGTGAAAGAATGATTCTTCAGATTCTCCAGCAGCAGTTAAATACCACTTCCACCTGATCACGTGCCTTCCACGTCATCCAAGCGAGTTCATTGCAAAATGTAGGGGTGGTCATAATGTTTTGGCTCTTGAGTGTATATATGTATCTTGTTCAAATTTTCAATCGTTAATAAAATGCTTTTTATTTATCCCTTTAAGTTCAAATACATATTCTTAAATTTGTAGTGAATGACATTTGATGTTAATACAGTGTTTTCAGATATTAATTCATTAATTAAACAAAAATGAATACATAGTAGCAAACAAAGATAATAATCCAACCAATATATATAGAAAGGAAAACCGTTCGTTGTGTCCTTACAGCGCAATGGATAGCACGTTGAACTTCTAACCCAAAGATCGTGGGCTCGAATCCCACGTGAGATGACGTAATTTCTGAAAATGAGAATTTATTATTTTTTCCATACTATTTTAGTACATTAATTAAATTTAATTAATGTATAAATAGTTACAAACAAAAAAAATAGTCTAACACCATATATAGAAAGGAAAATGGAAAATTGTCAGGAAAATCGCTTTCTATTTTGGTCACTTAACATTGTTTATTTGTCATATGTATATACATATTTATATTGATTTTCACTATTTAATAAAAAGTAACCAAAATAAAATTTTTCTTTGTTGACCTAAGTAGGAAATGACTTAATTTTTTTTTATTACTTTGTGACGGGTCTATCCGCGTTAATTTCCAAACTAATCCTCTTGGGTAACTTTGGGGCCAGCATTTATTCTATTTCACAGCCTCTTCGGGAAAAACACGAGATAGTTATATGCTAATTAATTCGACTATATAAAGTCTAGATTTCGTAAATGTTAGAGTGAGAGAGAGAAGGAATTGCCAAATTAAATGTAAGTATCGTCTACGGATCACTTCAACGAGCTTAACGCGTATTTGATAGTATTATAGTAAAGTATTATGTTAATCATTAAAGGAATCAAAGGAAATAAATTTAGTACCGACCTGAGGTTAGCAAGAGTTCGTCTCCTTGTCAATTCTGATAGTTGAGATTACTTAGACGGGAATATTAGATTTGAATGTTAGATTTGATTATTAGATTTGAGTATCAGGATTAATCTAGGTATTAGAGAATCACTCCAAGGTTTCCACTTATAAATTGAATTTGTGCTTGTTAATTGTGTTTGTCTGTCTACAATAAATAATTCTTGTTATGGCTTTTGTTGGTGATGATATGTTTCCTCCTACACCAGGCGCGTCGGGCAATGTGAACTCAGTCCAAGATAGGACTGGGACACGACAACTTGTTCTTTGAATTCCTTCTGAAATGTTCAATGAAATTTAAATAAATGCCGGTTGGAGAATATTTGTGTTTAACACAACGGAACAAAATTTACATTTCTAAATAAATTTAATATTCTCGTTTACTAATGATGTATTATAATGATTTAAAAATACCAATATATATATATCTACTTAATAAAACAATTTTTAAATCAAATGGCCATCGCTTGACATTTGAAAATAGATAATTTTTATCAGTTTTTAATATTTTATTTTAAAAATTTCATCTAATTTTTAATACGTTATACAGAACTATAACCCACTAAAACCAAAATAATTTTCATTTTAGTATTGTCTGAAGACATATCATGGACATAAAATACAATAAAAAACTTAATATCAACAAGAGTTATCAATCATACAACATTTTAGTACAGAGAATCTATGTTTTTTCAATTGTCTATTACTGTAGATAATGTATGTATGTGTATATATATATATATATGCTACAAAATAGCAAAATCGATAAAAGACCTGAATTCCATTTATTTTAACTTTTCATACATCCTTTTAAAATCTATTATCTGGTTGTCTCTTGCAATTTCAATTTTTTTCAGTTTTTTTTTAATGTTTATTCATCTCTCCCTTGTAGAGAAATTTCGACTATATATACATATGCTTGCTACTATAATTAAAATTATAGTTAAAAGGAAGCAATTGTGTGAGTGTTCGGGTGATGCTCATGCTACCCATTCGCGTTCCAGTCAGTGAGAGTAATACATGTATTAACGTCGCACTACGAAGCTACATGAGGGCTATTGGCGACGGACCTCGTAATTTTAAACCATGGTCAAGTGGCGAGGACAACATCTGGGCTTTCACCCTTCTCTCCACTCCACACCAACGGGAGGACGTCCGAGTCTCTACAGATTTAACGTGCAACGGCCCCTCCGCACGATGGTTCAGCGGCATCAGACTTGAACTCACCTCCATGCCAAACACTTCTCTTGTTCGGTTCACAAAACAACAGCGCTCGCAGTGGCGTAACATACACCTCCGCATCGATGGGGGTGCCCAAAATTCAAGGAGCCCAAAGCTTAATTGATGCCTCTTACGTACTCTTTGTATGATCCGGCTTGAAGCCCAAAACCTGACTTTGCAGGGGGAGGGGGGGGCTAACATTCTCCGTCACGCCACTGAGAGCTCGGATTCTTTCTTCAGCTCTCCCACGTAACTAAAAGCAAAATTGTATGGATTGGTTTTTAATTGCATTATTGCATTCTAATTACAAGGTGAAGGTTACCGATAGTTGCCTGACAAAACCGTTTCTTTCAGCAAAATTTCATGTTCGTGTTTATCAAATTCAGTATTGAGTTCGTTGTTGCATTCATGCATTATGAAAATGACAGATACAAATGTATTTAATATTTTCTGTATACATTCAATGTGAAACAAAAGTTTTAAAAGAAATATAAGATTTTCGGTAGTCTGCACATATTTATGTGGTTGTCCGAGCCTGATTACGATATTCATGTGATGCATGTTTGTATTTGTATTATAACCCTTTTTGTGTGACAAATAAAAGCTTTATGATAAGGAGTTGAAACGGGAAATAACGTTTCAAACTCCGGAATCCGATACGAAGTATTTTTGTTTTGTTATTTAATAATCAAAACTTATTTTATTTTGTAATATTGCAATCAAAACAAATAATTTTCGTTTTAGAATTATATTTAATTTTATATTATAATATAACACTTAATATATTAATTCTCAAAAATGCTCATTAAATCTCATGTAATTTTTTAAACTAAATTACAGTAAATAAGCTGACAAAGGTTAAGATGCAGAACTTAATGTCATTTAGAGATACATTTAATAACAAGGCATTCATTTGTCTCTGTTTTCGTAAAAGATATAAAATTTATGATCATCTAATGCGGTCCGCTGATAGAAGGCCTAAATTCTCTACAATTGATACAACGAGTACCATCACAAATACGCAAGTTCCAAGTAAAAATTTAAAATTACAAAATAAAGATGATTTGAAGACGTTTAAATAGAACACTGACAAGTTTCAAGTCACATAAAACAATAACGACTACAAGAAAATTTTTTTTATTAATAAGTCTAATTTGTATACTAAAAATTTTCAATTTAAGAAATGGTCACAAAAAATATGAAATCATTCCATTGGTGTAGAAACATTCAAGCCCCCAATGTCTTTTTTTTCCTACCAGTTTATCACCTCAATAAACGACTACAGGTACAGTAGGCACTCAAAGTAAATTGTGCTATTTTTCATGTATTTTCGGGAAAATTCCATTTTTAATTCTTGTAATAATGTGTGTATTTTCTCTAATAATGCATACTTTTATATTTACTATCAGTAGTTGAGTAGCATGATTGCATAAATTTGCCATCTTATTCTAAATAATCAAATTTTTGCTTAAAAAAAGGATTATTTTACCACTAGATTTCTTATGAAAATGATTCAATGGCGAATATGAAAGTTTGCACACATTTTTAAAATTAAAAACTGATTTATTTTTTTTACAGAATTAGAAGGTTTGCTTTTTTTAATGTTGAGAAACTTAGAAAGGTCTTGCATTTAATTTTAAAGAATATTTTTAATGCCTCTCTCTATAATATAGGAGTAGGAAGCTTTGTCTGCACCAGGCAGATATAAATTAATTATAAATTTTCCTTTGAATTAAAAAATGAAAGATTACTTCATGTTGCGAACACCTTGTTTATCAATTTATTTATATTCTTGTATAAAAAGACTTAAGAAAATTTTTTTTTTGAAAAAATCTCCCGGTGAATTAATTTTTAAAACAATAAAGATATTTATGCTGTGAATATTTTAAAGATGCAACGGAAAGAATTTTTAATAGACAGTTTTTTAAATGATTTTAACATAGACGAATATTAAGATTTAGTGTGTGCGTGTTTTCTTATTATTTATTACAAGCACAGTTAAGAGCAAATTATTATTTCAATATGTTAAAAATGCTGTTTTGATCAAATATGTCTATTTAACTGGTTTAATTACTATCATACTTTTAAAATTAATCTTATTATTTCGAAATTTCCTTGACAGGATTTATGTTAAGTAACAATCAAATTTTGTTTCTATGATGATAGAGAAAATTTTACACCTACTCATAATGAAAATTTAAAAAAAGGCAGATAAAAAAGTGTTGAACATTGTTTTGAAATTTTGGAATTTTTGCACACTCATAGCATTTTTAGTGAACATTTATACGAGAGTTTTATATTTATTTTTACCTATATTTTGTTTTGGTGTAATGGTTTAAATCAAGGAACTTTGTCGTAGACTCTCACTACCCCTATGATTATTAACTCCCCTTTGCACATTATCTAAATTCGGGTATGTTAGATTCATAATTAACAAATACTTAATTAATAAACCAATATTATTTATTAATCCTTCTTATTATAGAAATACACAAATATTAATCAAACTTTAAGAACAACAAATTACAGTGGAGTGTGATAAGAATTCAATTATGAACGACGGAACACTAACTGAAACTACGGAGAATAACGCATAAAATCAAACTACGCATTTATATCTAATTTATGAAAATAACAGACCTGATATCTTTTTAAGGCAGGATTCTTTAATACTTGATGGATCTAAAGAGCGGCTTCAATCCTTGATATCTTCAGTTCCGTCAGAACCGAATTAATGAACCTTTTTCTATAATCTTCCTCCGGCGAACAAACTTCACTAGTTAAACTAATCTCTCAGAATCACCTTCTTAATCAACCTCCTAGTTATCTCCTCTATCAAACACGTAGTCATCCTCATCTCTTCATTTCATTTCTCCCTTTTATATCTCTTTCGAACTCGCTAAACCCGAAACTATCTTGTTTGCATAAGTCACACTTTTGGCTCTCAGCGGGGATTGGTTAAAATACATACAATCTTAAAGGAATTGAGAGAAGGTTAGTGAAACGCGTAGCACCCGTCACAACTTCAAAAGTTCAAACAATTTTGTTTTGCTAATATTACAATTTTTAATAAATATATTGTCACAAGTGATTTAAAGCGGGAGAAGCAATTATGATAAAGGCGAAGAGAAAAAAAAAACTGTGT